GCCTCCCAAACGCCTCCATCTCAGTTCTCTCTTTCTCTCTCCAACTGTAAATGTATGGGTTTTGTTTTAATTTTTTTTAGGGCAAATCATTTCAGCCTCCCAAACCTTCCACCTCTATTCTCTTTGTCTCTCTCTCTACAACTGCAAATGTATGGGTTTTGTTTTAATTTTTTTTAGGGCAAATCATTTCAGCCTCCCAAACGCCTCCATCTCTATTCTCTCTTTGCAACTGCTAACCTATGTGTAAGGGTTTTGTTTTAATTTTTTTTCTAAATTAACTAACCAAGCTCTGTAATTCTTGTATTGCAAACTAATCTAGTTAATTTATTTTAATCATCACAAAAAAAAATAATAATAATAATTTTTATTCTAAAATTCTCAATTAAAATTTTCATTCGAAACATATTTTGTTCTTATTTCAGAACACCACACTATAAAATACTTATTCTGTTCTAAGATAGAACATTACACTACACTACACAATACTTCTCAAACGAGCCCTAAACACCTCCATTGATTCAAGAGCAATTCCCAATTACTAAGGATAAATTTTGATCTATTCTAATACGTTTTTTGTTTGATCAATAACTAAAAATCCAAACTATTGATTAGTTTACTACACCCGATATACAAAGAGCGGTGATATACTATCGAAAGAAGAGAGAACAGAAAAGATGGAGAAGAGAGATAAATGTGTCCGGAAAAAATAAAAATAAAAAGTTAAAAAAAGAGAAAGAGAGAGAGTCGTATAATAAATATGTGTATGTGAATATATATATATATATATATATATATATATATATAGATGGAGAGAGAGATAACCAAAGAGAGAGATAATGGAATTTTTGTTTTATTCCAACACCCACACCACACTGTATACATGAATGCCCACATATATAGGCGCTGTAATTGGCTTCCTAAAGAAGCCACAATTGAAATCTTCCTCTGTAAGCTTTGCATGGTGATGTCATGGATGACATACATTTATTGTGGGCCCCACTTCCATTATACATAACACTCCCCCTTGGGGTCCACAATATTACATTAAGAATATGCCTCGTTAAAACCTTGTTAAGGAAAACCCAATGGGACAAAACCCTAGCGAAGGAAAAAAAGTACAGTATTCTTATGTATCTGAAAATGGTATTGCATAGAGTAAAACTGCCTCATTAAAACCTTGCCAGGAAAACCCAGTGGGACAAAACCTGGACGAAAGAAAAAGAGTACAGCATGTCAACACTTCTTTGATCAATTGTTCCCCCTCATTAAATCAACCCTGAAGATCCTTTAGTTGACGCATTCCAGTGTTGTGCACCATCTTCTTGAATGTTGTTGTTGGAAGCGTTTTAGTGAATAGATCTGCTAGATTTTCACATGAACGTATCTTCTGAATATCAATATCACCCTTTTTCTGGAGTTCATGTGCATAAAAGAATTTTGGTGAGATGTGTTTGGTCCTATCACTTTTAATATACCCTTCTTTCATTTGTGCAATGCATGCCGCATTATTTCATATAATACTATTGGGCTTTCTTTTATTAATGAGAGACCACATGTTGTTCAAATATGTTGGATCATTGATCTCAACCAAAAGCATTCCCTGCTTGCTTCATGAATTGCGAGTATCTCAGAATGATTTGAAGAAGTTGCAATCATTCTCTGTTTCATTGATCACCATGATATAGCAGTGCCGCCACAAGTAAACATATATCCTGTTTGTGAATAAGCTTTATGTGGGTTAGAAAGATAACCGGCATCTGCATATCCAACTAATGGAGACTTTGGTGCCTTCGAATAAAACAAGCCTATATCAGTTGTGCCACGAAGATATCGCAGTATGTGTTTGATTTCATTCCAATGTTTGTGAGTTGGTGCAGAACTGTACCGTGCTAATAAATTGACTAAAAAAATTATATCAGGTCTTGTGCAATTTGCAAGATACAAAAGAGCACCAATCGCACTGAGATAGGGCACTTCAGGACCAAGGAGTTCTTCATCATCTTCTCAAGGACGAAAATGATCTTTCTTGATGTCAAGTGATCGGACAACCATTGGGCAGCTCAATGGATAGGCTTTATCCATATGAAAACGTTTCAGAATCTTTTCTGTATATGTTAATTGATGGATGAGAATACCATTCGAAAAATGTTCAACCTGTAGCCCAAGGCAGAATTTTGTCTTTCCGAGATCTTTCATTTCAAATTCTTTCTTTAAATAATTGGCTGTCTTTTCGATCTCGTCCAATGTTCCCACAAGGTTCAGATCATCAACATATACTGCAACAATAACAAAACCAGATTCTGATTTGTTAATAAAAATGCATGGACAAATATGACTGTTCACATACCCTTCTTTGAGTAAGTAATCGCTAAGGCAATTATATCACATTCGTCTAGATTGCTTCAATCCATATAAGAATCGTTATAATTTTATTGAGTGCATATTACGTGGTTTTGTTTCAGGCATTTTAAATCCTTCTGGGATTTTCATATAAATATCACTATCTAGTGATCCATATAAATATGTTGTAACCACGTCCATTAGATGCATATGCAATCTTTCTGTGACTGCCAAGTGTATTATGAATCTAAAAGTAGTTGCATCAATCACAGGGGAGTATGTTTCCTCAGAATCAATACCAGGTCTTTGTGAGAAACCTTGAGCTACAAGTCGGGCTTTGTATCTCACGATTTCATTTTTCTCATTACGCTTTCGAACAAATGCCCATTTGTACCCAACAGGATTAACGCTATCAAGTGTTTGGACTACTGGTCCAAATACTTCACATTTAACTAATGAATTTAGCTCTATTTGTATTGTTTCTTTCTATTTTGGCCAATCATTTCTTCGTCGACATTCTTCGACGTTTTGAGGTTCCAGATCCTCATTTTCAATATCAAGAGCAACGAGATATGAGAATATGTTGTCGACAACAATTTCATTTCTATTCCATCTCGTTTCATAATTTAATGAGATTTCATCATTTTCAGGTACCTTTGCCTTATCAAGGACATGTGCCTCATCAAGGGCCATATCATCATTTGTTGCTTTTGCCTCATCAATATTTATGATTTCATCATTTTTAGGTACCTGAGACTCATTAAGAGCCTCTGCTTTATCAAAAGCTATTATCTCAGATTGATCAATAATATCTGTTACTCTTTTTGTGGCCTCTTCAGGAGTGCCAGCTTTTCTTTGTGATTTCCTCTTACGAGGAATAATATCTTTTGCACCGACTGGTCTACCACGCTTCAAGCGTGTTTTAGATGCATTTGCTGCATTACTGACAGAAGGTTCCTCAGGGACAACAATTTGTGTTGGCACATTTGCAACTGGTATATGTGATTTTATCACTTTCTTTGTATCAGTAAATGTATCAGGTAATTGATTTGCAACATTTTGCAAGTGAATAATCCTCTGAACTTCTCGTTCACATTTGTTTGTACGAGGATCAAAATGAGACAATTCCAGGGCATTCCAAGTAAGATCACGTTGTTGATGTGCCTTTTCTCCCCTTAATGGTGGGAAAACAGTCTCATCAAAATGACAGTCAGCAAATTGTGCTTTAAAGACATCACTTGTCAGGGGTTCAAGATATCTAATAATAGATGAAGAATCAAAATCAACATAAATTCCAAATCAACGTTGAGAACCCATTTTAGTGCGTTGGAGTGGTGCAATTGGAACATATATAGCACAACCAAAAACTCGTATGTGGGAGATATTTGGTTGTTGACCAAAAACAAGTTGCAATGGTGAGTACTTATGATAAGCAGTTGGTCATATACAAACTAATGATGTAGCATGCAATATGGCATGACCCTAGGCAGAAATAGGTAATTTTGTCCGCATAAGCAAAGAACGACCAATTAGCTGAAGTCTTTTAATAAAAGATTCAGCCATACCATTTTGAGTATGAGTGTGTGCAACAGAATGTTCAACATTAATTCTAACTGACATGCAATAATCATCAAAAGCTTGAGAAGAAAATTCAACAGCATTATCAAGACGGATTGTCTTAATTGGGTAATCAAGAAAGTGTGCCCGTAATTTGATGATTTGAGCAAGAAGTTTAGCAAATGCAACATTACGAGTAGAAAGTAGACAAACATGTGACCATCGTGTTGATGCATCAATTAAGACCATAAAATAACGAAATGGTCCAGAGGGTGGATGAATTGGCCCACATATATCCCCATGAATTCGTTGTAAAAATGGAGGAGACTCAACAATGACTTTTGAAGGGGATGGTCTGATAATCAACTTACCTTGTGAGCAAGCGGTGCATAGATGATTATTTGGTAAGATGATTTTTTGATCCTTTAGTGGGTGACCATGCGAATTTTCAATAATTTGACGCATCATTGTACTCCCTAGGTGACCAAGTTGATCATGCCAAAGTATAAAAAGTTTTGGGTCACAAGATTTTTATGGATCATAAAAAGTTTTGACTCAATTGTTCTAATGGTTGTATAGTATAACCCAGAAGAGAAAACAGGGAGTTTTTCTAATATCAGTTTCTTGCCTGAGGTAATGGAAGTAATGTAGAGGTATTCCACATTTCTTTCATTTGCAGTCTTAATATAATACCCATTAGGACGCAAATCTTTAAAACTCAACAGATTTCTCCGAGATCTTATAGAATATAAGGCATCATCGATTTGTAATCTTGTTCCATGTGATAAAATGATGTTAGCTCGTCCGGAGCCTTCAATAAAGTCGGTGGGACCTGATATGGTACTGACACTGGCATATGTCAGAGTTAGGTGAGAAAAATATTTTTGATCTCGAAGATTTGTATGTGTTGTTCCATTATCTGCAAGACATATATCTTCACCATTTATTTTGGGACTAGTCAGATCCATTCCTATTCATGCAAATTTCTTTATCAGAAAAGAAACTTTTATAACAAAGGAAACTTTGATACAAACTAAAAAATAAAAATTTTAATACAAGGAAAATAGAAACATAGTAGATAGAATATGAAAAAAAACATAAGATTAACTGGTGTGGACATTTCCATCACCAATAAGGAAGTCTATCCTTCCATCACGATCATCAAAAAAATCTAATACATCCAGATTGGTGATGTTAACTGGCTCATCATGATTAATGAAATTCATTTCCAGATTTATGGTGTCAACTGACTCATCATGATCAAGGAAATTCATTTCATTTTGTTTTCCCTTTTCTTTCATTAAGGCTTGGTAAAGATCAGCCAGATGCTTTGGTGTACGACAAATACTTTGCCAATGCCCTGTCATGCCACACCGATAACAAGTATTATCATGAGCCTTGAAAGGTTGAGCCACATCATTCCCTTTTACTTGTCTCATTTCATTATAATCTTTCCTTTGAGGATATAGTGTGGATCTCTGATTGCGAAAATGTGAGAATTGATATCCTTCATGATAATAAGAATGATTTCTACCACGACCATATTCATTATTGTGGTAGTTATTTTTAGCACGACTATATTCATTTCTACCACCACGACCACGTCCACGTCCGTGTCTACAACCACGGGATGAGGCAACATATGTTTCAGGGATCGGTGTCGATCCAGTTAGACGAGACTGGTGGTTTCTCAACAAAAGCTTATTATTTTGCTCTGCCACAAGCAAACATGATATCAGCTCTGAATATTTTTTAAATCTACGCTCTCAATATTGTTGTTGCAAGAGTACATTCGAGGCGTGAAATATGGTGAATGTTTTTTCTAGCAAAAATTCATCAGTAACAGTATCACCACATAATTTTAATGTAGAGCTGATTTTGAATAGAGCAGAGTTATATTCAGTCAGAATTTTAAAATCTTGCAACCTCAGTTGCAGCCAATCAGCCCTGGCCTTTGGGAGGATGACTGTTTTTTGATGATCATATATTTCTTTCAAATTATTCCACAAACAAAGTGGATCTCTTTCAGTGAGGTATTCAGTTTTCAGTTCCTCACTAATATGGCGCCGGAGAAAAATTATGACCTTTGCTTTATCTTGCAATGATGCCTCATTGTCTTCTTTAATTGTGTCACCAACGCCCATGGCATCCAAATGGATCTGAGCATTCAGAATTCAAGATAAATAATTTTTGCTAGAAATATTCAGGGTCACGAATTTCAGCTTTGACAAATTTGACATTTTCAGAATAACTAGATGTGACAACAATATAAAAATATAATTTAGCATATAAATAAAATGGAATTAAAATGAAATAATAATATAATATAAATTATTTAAATAACAATAATAGTCAATCTTGTCATTATAAATAAATTATTAAATAATAAAGGCGGTAAAACCAGCCATAAAATATTAAATAATAAAAGTGATAAGACCGACTATAATTAGTAAATTATTAAATAATAAAGGTGGTAGAACCGACCATAGTGTAAGTATATATATCATTTAAGTGAACAACTTTATTTTACTAACAATAATCCATAATTAAAATTTCTTTATCGTTTGGAGTCAGAAATATTATTTTCTCCGATAAAGCAAACTAACCCAACAAGCTATCAAAACTAATATTACAAAATAGATATATAGTTGGGATAAAAAGAGGGAGAGAAAGCTTTCTTTTTCAAATCTCATATGGATAGTTTGTGCGTATAATAAATATGTGTATGTGAATATATATATATATATATATATATATATATATATATATAAAAGGAGACGGAGAGACAGAGATAACCAAAGAGAGAGAGAGAATGGAATTTTTGTTTTATTCCAACACCCACACCTCGCTGTGTACATGAATGCCCATATGTATATAGGCGCTCTAATGGAAGCCGGAATTGAAATCTTCCTTTGTAAGCTTTGCATGGTGATGTCATGGATGACATACATTTATTGTGGGCTCCACTTTCATTATACATAACGTACACTCTGTATAGAATAATAAAAGAATAGTTCGTATTTATTTATTTGTTTATTTATTTAAGGTGACGCATTCTTGTCTTTCATTTTTGTATAAAGCACTTTGTTCAACCGGAGGGTGAAATCCAGCGCTGACTAATTAAAAACCTGGGATTCCTGCTTCTCTCTCACACAATAGGTTTGAATCCTTCTCCGTAAAACTCAATACTCCATATTTAGCGATCAGATCTATACTGAGATCTGGTAGATCTCTCTAATTGTTCTTTTTTATTTCTTTTTGTTTATTCAATCTATTCTTGATTTTAGGAAATAAGCTTGAAACATGATTCAGAAAATGGATCAAGTATGTGTCAGATTTTGAGCAAGGAGGCATTCTGCCTTTGTACTTGTATTTTGTTCGTGCACAATCAACTGAGGCCTCTCCGGTTCATGTTGCAAGGTAGTGTTCTTTTATAGAAATATTTAACTGAGTTTATATGCTAAGTCACACAATTCGTTCAAAGAGGCCTTGCTCTCAAGCTCTGCACGCGAATTTGCAATTCAATTTTTGCAATTCTCGAATTTGTTCACTTTGTATAATTGAATTTGTTAGAGTCCCAATAGTATGGAACACATTTATGCGTTGTATGGCATTGTTATACTACCATATATATATATATATATATATATATATATTAATTAATTATACATGTTTGAAAATATACCACCAAAAAACTTCCCAATCGGAGAATATTACAAATGAATCACGAAGTTAGCTTATTTATTACATATAGGAATCAATAATAATGAATATATTTGCATATGAATTTAAATAAATAAAAAAATATAAAATATATATGTCATGAACAGACATAATTTTACTTAAACTTAATATACAGATGCTCCGGGTTTCAAAAAATTTGAACTTTGACGCTTTCGCTCCCGTAGGTACTCTGGAATTATTAAAAAAATTCAATATTGCTAGTGAGTTTCTGGGTGCGTCACTATGGGTGCGTCACTATGCTGTTAGTGTCTGATTTTAAGATGTTTTTCATAGCAATTAGTCTCTGATCTAGGTTAAAGTATGTAAATATTTTTTCATAAAACATGCAGCAACACCGGTAGTGTCTGATTTAGGTTAATAATCCAAGCAAACAAATTCATTCAAAGCCAAGTGGGGTGCCTTTGCTTTTGCCTTCGTAAGCGCGTTCTTTCATTACGTGAACATTTTTTCATAGCACATGCAACAACGCCGTCAGTGTCTAATGTACGTTCTTTTATGAAGTATGTAAACATTTTCATAGAACATGCAACAACGCCATTAGTGTCTAATGTAAGTTCTTTTATGAAGTATGTAAACATATATTCATAGCACATGCAACAACGCTGTTAGTGTCTAATGTACGTTCGTTTATGAAGTATGTAAACATTTTTTCATAGCACATGCAACAACGCCGTTAGTGTCTAATGTACGTTCTTTTATGAAGTATGTAAACATTTTTCCATAACACATGCAACAATGCCGTTAGTGTATGATTTAGGTTAATAATCCACGGAAATAATGGCTTTTGGAGGAAAGAAAGTCATTTGAAGCCAAGTGGGGTGCCTTTGCTTTGCCTTCGTAAGCGCTTGCGGTTAGGATGTCCCAAGTGAACTCAATGGCACTAATGTTACTCGATGCCAAATGCTGATAGTTCAGCCTGAATTCTCATCTCAGTACATAGTACTGGTTGAGGAGTACCAACGATGTTCATATGTCAAAGAGATTGGAAAAGAACAAAAAAAGGGATTCCAATACAAACTTTAGGGCCAAGGTGGGGGTGTCAAGGGAGGTTCACAGCTAGTCGCAGTTTTGGCTGATGACGAAGAAATAGTGGGTTCGTTGAACTATTGATTTGCAGGATTCGATGGAGTTTGAGAATCGAGCTTGATATGATCAACAACTCTACCTGATAGATTCAGTAAGCAAGTTAGAAATATTTGTCAGATGAGCAATCCAAACTTCTGCTTTGACTTAATCTGTATGCTCAGAAAATGGCATTCAAGCCCAGTTTCATAGGACATGCAACAATATCGGTAGTGTTTGAGTTAGGCTCTTTTATAAAAATATTTAACGATTTTTTCATAACACATGCAGTAACGCCGGTAGTGTTTGATTTAGGTTCTCTTATAAAATATGTAACAACATTTCATAAACACATGTAACAACGTTGGTAGTGTTTGATTTAGGTTCTTTTACAAAATATGTAACTATTTTTTTTATTTTTATAAAACATGTAACAACATCGGTAGTTTCTATGACTTCCACTTATCGATCCCTTTGTATACTTTTTTTTGTTCTGGATGAAACTGAGTTTTGCTTTATGCATTTGTGTGTGTATATATATTCCTTTCAATTCGTTGATTTCTTTTTGTTTATTGAATTCTATTCTTCATTTTATGGAATAGATGTGGGAAATAAAAAAGTTGGAGACTTTTTTCAGAAATGGATTTATCCAGCTGCCCCCAACTCCTACGGGGTAGATCCAGTCAAGTCTTAAGAAACAAGCAAAATCATTCATACAAGATCTAGTTTTGGATCTTTATGAAGTTTTTTGTATATTCCATTTTATTGGTAATTTTCAAAATGTTTAGAATTTTGTTCACCATTTTTTTTATAAAATAATTTCTATTTTCTTTTCTAGATTCATGTTGGTTAGATTACAAAGATGGGTTGAGGAAATTAGAACTTCGACCTCCTCTGGTCAGCATACATTTTGAATACATACGAGAGTTAAAAATGGCTAGAAGATCAGAAGCCAGTTAGAAAATGTTCTTCTAGCTAATATATAAAAAAAGCTTAACCCAATTAATCCGGGGGAAAAAAAAAGAGTGCGCTTAAAATTCAAAAAGATTTCAAAAATAGAATATGTTATTATTAATTACTACTTAAAAACTTCCGCTATTAAAATTTTGTTCTTAAAATTTTAATTATATTATATAAATATCATATATTTGATAGTCAAACAAAAAAACAGAGATTATTTCCACTTTTTTTACTGATTAAAACACACCTTACCTAAAAAATTATTATTGTTTTGCATATATATATATATATATATATATCAATATCTTATATTCACACATATATATATGTGTGTGTGTGTGTGTGTGCGCGCGCGCGCGCGTGCGTGAATACTAATAAATATGTATTTTTTTTGATAGGTAAGATTTTATAAGGCATTCCAATGGGGAATGCATCCTGCAAAAGATTGTACAAGAAAGATGGTATCAAGCCACATGGTTCTGATGCGGCCCGATTCTCCAACAGAACAACAAACCAGCTAACATCCAACAACAAACCAGCAAACATCCAACGAAACTGTTAGTGTGTATGTATAGAGAGTGGAAGCGGGAAATGGCCATCCCCATTTCCAGGCTTTCCATTTCTCGCTCTCACCGGCTCTCCCATTCTTTTTCTCTCCCAACTTTCCAAATAAAGAGTCATTTACAAAGGCAAGGACATTTCATTGCTCTGTTACATCGGAATTCAATTCCCTTAGTTAAGTTTGAATACTCAATTTTATTGCCTTCCTTTGCTTTGAAGTTGTTGTAGGTGTTCATTTCATATACATACACCAAATTGACATAAAGGTTATGTAAGAAAAAGATAATCTTGGTAACCAATTAGTTAGTCTCCTGGGTTCTTGATATCACAATAATTTGGGATTACTGGATTATTATTTGTAAAGACATTTGGATTAATGTGTAGTTGATTTATTTTGCTTTGGTCCAGACCATAGGTGTACTTTTGTGGAACTCACCTCATTCGACACCCCATAAAGTTATTTCATTCTTTCAAATCACTGGTTAATCTATGATTTGTATGCCATTATGTCTATCTTCTCATTTCTAGAATCTAAGTCTAGTGCTTTTACTATTTTTTGGTAATTAAGTTTAGTGCCACTACGAATTTGCCAAATGTCAATTTTTAATTTTAAATTTTCCACATTCTATAACTCTTTGTTTTTTAGGGTTGACAGAGGTGGGCAATATGTTTTCTTTGTGAGCAGCTGCAATGGAGGAGTCATTGCTGTTGCTGATGGCGTTTCTGGGTACGCAAATTAGTTTGAAGGAAGCATCTTCAATTTTTTTTTTTTCCTTTCCTTTTTTGCATAAGAAGTTCAAATTTACAGTATATATATATATATATATATAATCAGGTTATAGAGATATTTACAACTGTTAAATCCATATTCGAGGCCATGAATCATTTATTTTCTTTTGTGGCCATTTTCAATAGTTTGTAGATTATTTTACTAGGCCCATAGTTTGCAGATTATTTTACTAGGCCCAAGAGCAGGTGGGCAGAATAACCCAATTAATTCGAAGTATTTAATCCAAGCCTGTCCAGAATATATAAATATACACACACACACAAAAACAATTATTAAAGTAAAAAAAAATGAGAGCGCATAATATTCAAAAAGATTTCAAAAAAATAAGAACTTACCTTTTATTTACCACTTAAACTTCAGCACTTAAAATTTAGTTTAATTTTTTTTCACTATATCATTCATATGATTCAGTTTGTGTTGGTATAACGAAAAAACAGTGCATGTTTCCACTTTTTTATACTGATTAATACAAACCTTGCCTTAAAATTGATGTTGTTTTGCATGAATGAATGTTTGTGAATCATTCATTAAGACTACTAAAGAGGAATAACACAAGAAAAAAATAGCAGACTGATATCTGCCTCGACCTTCTTGTTGCCTTCAACACTTACCTTTCACAAATTTACGAAGAAAAAACTTTGTAGCTATATTTTGGAGCATTGATATAGATATTGTATTTTCAAATACATATAGAATTTGGAACACTTGACTATATATTTAGGCATATCTTGGAATTTCTGAAATGCTAGACAAGAGGATACTCTTGTGTACATGGTAAATTTGCTTTGTTTTGATTAGATTGAATTACCAAGGACTACCAAGTATATTCCCAGATAATAGACCAAATAAAGGGTCCTGTCATTGAGCCGAAAAGTGCAGGGGTTTCTAAGTATAGACCAATTAATTGACACTTATAATAACAAAAATGTTGTTAAAATTAAAATTATCATAAAAATGAAGGAAAACTAAAACTATAGCTAATAAAATAATGTTTATTAATTTTTATGTATAAAAAGATAATACTTACTGCTAATTTTGTTTTTCCTTTTTTTTAAAACTTGGAAGAAGATTCAATTATCATGGATTGCCTAAATAATGCATTCTGTGTGCACATGCCCTTTTTCCTCATTCCCGAATGTTTTCACTTGATGATTTTCAGTTTTGTGTTGAAGCACAGCTCTGTATTGGGACATTTTGCAGGACTTTAGGTGTGACAATTAACACAATACCCAACAAAAAGACCCACAAATAGGTATAATCACTTTTTCCAAAAACTGCTGCTACCTGCTCTTCTATGAGTTGATGATATAGTCGATCAGGAAAAGTTTTTGGTGTGTGAGTTATAAAAGTAAAAGTTATTTACTTTATATGAAAATTAGAAAAAAAAACCAGCTTCAGTACACTTCTATTATGTTTACAATGGATGAGAAACAGAAATGGGGAGAGAGGGTCCCCTTTGTATGATTCCTTAAGTCCTTTTAAGTAACCATTGAACTAACAATTAAGAGATATGTAGGAAGGAGAGGTAAAACAAGCTTTCACCCAAGAAATAAGACCAGTAGGGAATCCCAAGAGAGTGGAGTGTCAAGAATGAAGTCCTACACAACACTGGCAAATGTTTTTTCGATGTCAACCTTCATAGCACATTTAGGAGAGAATGCATGCTTGTGGTAACCATGGAGAAGTTCATGTGTAAGCAAAACACTATCACTAATTTTCCTGTCTTGCACAAAGGCAATCTGAGTGTGGTCAATGAGATGAGGTAGAGCAATCTGAATTTTCCTAGCAATTAATTTGGAAGTGCATTTATAAATAATGTTGCAACAGGATATTGGTCTAAAGTCATTAAGAGAGGTAGGGTTAGGGCATTTGGGAACAAGTGAGATGTAAGATGAGTTGATTTCTTTCAGTAGTTTTCCATTGAGGAAAAAAAAAGAGTCTCTGATGGCTTTAACAATGGAATGACCAATAACACACTAGGACTTTTGAAAGAAATGCCCATTGAAGCCATCAGGGTCTGGGGCTTTGTCTTGGTTGAAAGAGTGCATACACTGGACAATCTCATGGTCAGTGGGAATGGATGTGAAGGACTAAAGGAGGTTAGGGGGAATGGTCTTGGTGATGAAAAGGGAGAGCAGCACTTCCTGGGCAAGGAGGAGAGTTTCCCAGTAGGTTCTGTAAGTGCTCAATAACTTCATGCTGGATTGCAAGAGGATCAGTGATCTGAGCTCCTTGACTGTTTGCGAAACAAGTGATTTTTTTTCTTGTTCAGCCTGGAGCTGATATATCTGCAGAAGGCAGAGTTGGCATCCCCTAATTTGAGCCAATTGATCCTTGATTTTTTGCTTCAGGATGTTCTCCTCAACATTAACTAATTTGCTTAAGAGTTTAGTAGAAGTCTCTCCTTAAGTCTCAGAGAGGAGTTGGAAGGCTCCTTGTCAAGGTCAAATTGGCATTTGTCCAATTCATGCTTTAGAGGCAGTCGCTTTGTTAGACAAATCAGAGAACTCTCTTCTACAATTGTTTTTTTAGATCATGCTTTAGCAACTTAAGCTTTTGAGAGACTTGATACATGGAAGTGCCTTTGATAATAGTTTTCTCAACTGTAGGAATGAAGTGAGCATGGCTGCTCCATGCATTGAAGAAACTAAAGGGAGTGGCTCTTCTAGGAAAAAGACTCTGCAGTTTAACAACAATAGGGCTGTGACCAGATATTACTTGAGGGAGAAAGGAACATTCAGAGAGAGGGAAGATAGAGTTCCATTGGGGGTTAACAAGGGCCTTGCAATGCATGCTGGACCCTCACTCTTGTTATTCCAGGTATGGAGAATACCATTGAATTTAAGGCCATCAAGTTCAGCAGCTTGTAAACCATTTTTGAAATCAAGCGCTGCTTGATTCCATCTAGCTCTGCCACCATGACTCTCATTGGTATCAGCAATAGAATTGAAGTCATCAAGGCAGAGCCAAGGGGAAATAGAATGAGAAAAAGAATGAACAGTGTCACACCCGAAAACTTGAAAAGCCCTAAAATCTGAATCAATCTCAAAATCCAAAATCCAAAGCATGGAGTGTTATTGAAAATATGTATGTTAATGCCACAAAGTTAAACATATGTTTACTATCAGTCATTATATCACAAACAACTCCACAATTTCAAATATTTAAATAAAACTACAGTAGTCCCCAAGCTTACAGAAATCAAACCACTCACATAATTTCTTCAAATGGTCTAGAGTCTGAACTTTATTAATTGCAAAAACATAATAGAAATTTGTAATGCAAGTCCTAAAGCCAACATCTCGTAACCCTTTCTCCAACTAATAGCCCTCCTTTCTTTGGTTTCCTTTAGCATCATAATCTGAAAATTGTATAAAAGAGTGAGCGTGACAGCCGGTAGGAAGATTTGCTACTACTCTATAAGCAAGATATATCAAACATGGGAAGAAACAAAATCATGGTACTATACTTTTTAAAATCTTTAATAATATAAATAATTGAAGAATCAAACAGTTTAGTGAATCAGAAATCCATACCAATCATAGTGCCAAGTTTATCAAGATTTCATGAGACAATAAGTAATCTAACAATCACAACTTTCAGTTCTATGTCATAGAACATTAATCAAGAAACAAGAGATCATGTATCACCAACCGGGCAATGCATTTTGAGTGTTTCAATTCCAGTCGTTGCAGCCCTATGCGCCCCTCAAGGGTGTTACTGTGCCTCTCTAGAGGTGGTGGCATTCGACCCACTCAACATTTCGTCACACTAGGCTTCCGCGATTTCAAGGTCAACTACCTTTTCCCAACTGGAAATCAACATGTCTCTTAACAGTTTTCATTTTTTATCATTATATTTGACATCCATAAAAATCTCTACATCAAATCTGTTATAATAGTTTTAGAGAACTTAATTACACATATATAGAGTAGTAAACACGTCAGAAGTTGTTTTTTAAAGCAAACATATTTTTCCACATGCTAACATGATTAAATATATAAAAGGTAGCAATTTGTGTAGACCCGGCACAAGTGGTCTTTGTTTTTTTTCCCCCCCCCTCTCCGCAGCTCTGTCTCTCTCAACCTTTTATGTAATATTTCTCTCAATGAAAGTGTTCAATACTTGGTGTTCTATCTTTTATAAAGATCATATCTTACTTGATTGCTGCCATTTACTATGGCTGCAATTCAGCAGCTGATTTGAGGTAGAATTTGGCAGCTTTCTGTAATTTTATTGCAGTTTACTTTTGACCCTATACCTAAAAGTTAAGATTTAAGTCAGATTACCACTATAGAAATAATTTGAATATCCTTTCTCTTAAATAATATCCCCAGGAAATGGGGGAGCGTGCACATACCCATGTGAGACTTTGTGGATTACTTGGTTAGTGGAACTTAGTGGTATGGGTAACCCTAATCGAGACTTTGTTTGGATTCCACATGATCCAAATCCTACCTAGAGGGGAGAAGGAATAGTTATGCTCAAAGGGCCAGGAATTTGTTATAAACATTTGAATTTGGTCAGAATTGGAAATGTTCACTTTTGTCTCTAAGATGGCCACTATGTTAACCTTTTGATCACATATGAGATCCTCAACTTTTTGTTGTTTAGAGGGAGCATTAAGCCATCTAATGTTTCATGTGGTAATCGTAATCTTGGCAGGAATGGAAGGATGTTACGGAGCTGGAGCCAACTAGTCACCGGAATTGAGCACTTCAAGACTCCAGTCCCTTTTTCGTTTTGCCCTTTGCTTTGAGTTTCTGGATATTACTGGCTGTGCTTGCTGTCAGGGTGAAATCATCAGAAGTGATTCCATTGGAGCTGGTTTCCATCTTGTTCTGAAGGTCATCATTTGGAACATGGGCAGTGGGAATGCATTGAGCATCATCATTGGATTTACCTTTGCTTTCTGGGACAACTGACATGTCATTGGCTTGGGTAGGGGAAATATTATTGGTTTGGACTGACTGGAACATGTGTGGTTTGAATGGAGAGAGGTCAATAAGAAGTTTGTGGCTGGTGAGTTCTGTTCTGGTTTTCTTGGACTTGGGAAATTGGCATAATGGAAATGGGGGGATGGAGGCAGTGATAGTGTTAGATGGTGAGACAGCAGGGCAACTCTGTGGTGGTTTGCTGGTTTTTTGGGGCTTGAGGGTGTGGTGTGGGAACGAGAGGTGACACAGTAGGTTGAGAGGGAGGGTTGATAGGACAAGATCTGGTAGGGCTAAGACTATGGTACCTGTTCATGTCTCTAGAATCACTATTGTGCATAGATGGATTAATTCCTCTTGATTTTGCTTGAGAGGGCTTTTCTTGTAGGTGACCCCACCTGCCAGTCAGAATGTTGGTTTGACCTTCATGGTTGGGATGGGCATCATCATTTGCATGGTGATGGTAAAGTTTGGGGCTGGGAGCGTCAGTTGCAAGGGTTGAGGGCTCAGGGGGTTGAATGAGAGGCTAGTTTGATTCTGAATGGTTCAGGTATGAGCAAGAGTGACAGTCCTTAGGGAGCGATTGGTACTCCACTCTGATTTCTGTGATCTTGTTGTCCTTGCTCTTGAGGTGAATTTAGTCAGTTAATTTCCCTTTCTTGTCAATCTAAACACATGTTCTAGCAAACTTCAAAATTTTTTTTTCTTTGTTTTTTTTGACTGATTATCATCATCAGCATAAAGTGGTGTTCCAATCCCACTTGCAATGTAACTCAGTCCATTTGAGGTCCAGAAATTGCGAAGGAATGATGTAGAACCTAACCCAAGTAGAAAATGATGTTTCTTGCAGGCTATCAGCTGGCCCATCGCTCCATTTCCTCAAGCTGAGTTGGTTGCCTGAGATGGACCATGGTCCCTTAGAGAGGACAGAGGAGGCAGCTGCAGGGTTGGTGAATTGGAAATAAAAGGCTCCTTTTCCATCAGCAGAGGTTTCACAAGCCGAGAGTTTTTCCAGAGCATGGTAGCTGTTGCTTCCACAAGTTTATAAGGTAATTTCTTTTGGTAGGTTCTATAGAGGTGCTCCCCCTACTGGAAAGATTTTATTTGTTGAGCTTGATTGTTTTTCTTTTTTAAAGATACAAGTAAACCTAAAGATAGGATAGATTTTCTTGAAATTTGCAGAGAAACTTCAATAAAGAGCACAACATAGGATAGATTTTCTTGGAATTTACAGAGAAACTCCAATAAAGAGCACAACAGGGCTGATGACCTGTTGGTCTCCCATCCAGGGATTTGGGCAAAGTAACATCCGGGTGGGGATGTTCCACCCCAGGTACTGCATGGCAATACCTTGACAAAGTTCTTTACTAGTTTAATATGGGTAGAGAATCCTCTATCCTAGTGAGCTGTTTTTTTTTTATTTTTTATATTATGTCATGTATGTCCTGTATCAAAACCTATCTATGATAATATTAGGTTTGAAAAGCACAGAATGGAAATTAGGGAAAGCATAAGCTTCTCATCACTTGAAAAGTAGAGTAATAGCTATGACAGTACAAGTTTCTATCTTTTTAAATCCCATCAGTAATCAGCTTATGTAGCTTCTTCTCATCACTTGATGAGTTATTATTGAAATGCACGGCAGAAAAGTACGTAGTTATGAGAGTAAAAGTTTAATTATATTAAATCCTCACCAGCTTATATGCTTCTGATCAATTGCTTCGATCCTTTTTCTGATTAGAAATGATGAGGGGGGCAATTTCCTTCACTCGTTGTTCAGTCATTACCACAGTAACTGGAGGTGCAGGAATTTCTGCTGGCTTTCTGAGTTTCCAGGTTAGAAAGACAAAGGGTAACAGTTGCAAGAGCAACACAAGATCTGTAAAAGAAAAGGTGCTTAGAATACATTGACATAAATTATTGATATATCTATCCCCTCTCTTCCAGGAATCATATCCTTATCGGCCCTCTTTTTCTTGTTAGCATCCTTATTATCACTCTTTTTTCCATTATCCTCATCATTATCATCCTTTTTGGCTTTCATGGTTAACTTGGAATTTCCTGCATTCATAACATTGTTCATTATAAATTGTGTATATAAAATATAAGTTGGAACATTAAGTTGGTATAAAACTACCAAGCAGATGATTTTTGCCCTTTTGAATGCTGATCCCTTTCCAAGGTATCATCCCTGAAAATTAAAATGAATCTAAAGTAATTAGATGAGTTAACAATTATGCAAATTCAGATCAATTCAAACACATTTATTTATATTAGTGAGCACAGATTCAGAGACCAAGTTAAATAATCAGATCAATGGCACATACGCACAAAATGTACGAAAGTACTTTGTCTTGAATCACAAAATTTCATTAAAAAAGGAGCAGTTATCTATTGATTCTTTAGATACGATTCAAACAGGTCTGGACAAAATGCACAATTTCATAATAAAAAAAACAGTTATATATTGATATACGATTTAAACAAATCTGGACAACAAATATACCTCTCTTGATACGGAGGTTTCTTTGAAGATCCAGTAATCCGTTTCTTGCTCCGATTGATTGATATAAAGTTGTGAAATCCGTTGCCTTCATCTGTGTGAACCTACAAGTGGTTTGCAGAATCGCCGCCTCCATTCTCTCTCTCTCTCTGTCTTCGGGAATAAATTTTGTTAGGGTTTGGGTTTACATTTATTTTGTTAAAAAAAAAAAAAAAAAAAAAAAAAAAACCAACCAGTCAACTAGTTCAATGTAGGTTTAAATTGAACTGAACTATTAGTAATTGATAACCATATCTAATAATTTTTTGGGAAAATGCTAAACATCACAAATTATTCACAAAAATAACTCGAATTAGGTGGCCAATGGTGTAGCTAATGATATGGCAATGTGTTTAGTGTGAAAGCAATTTCCTTTAGAGAATTTAGTATATAACAAAGAGAGAAAAAAAGTAAGGGTAAATTGCACTCACACCCCAGGCTTAGGTTAAAGACACCTAGCTACAACTTGGACACTGTTTGGATAATGACACCCTCTAGATTTGCAAAATTGAACAATTACACCCTAACTACCTTTGGCACAAAGTGAAATTACTTTATTGCCCTTTTACTTATCAATTGACCCATTGGAATGTTGAATTACCCATTTAACCTTCTAACTATTTTTAATCTACCAAAGTAACATCTCCATCGCTATACAGAATCCATATAGATATGTATATATATATATATGTATGTACGTATCATCTCCTTCTCTTATACATATACAATAGATGTTTTTCTAGGAATTGTCCTAATTTTTTTAATACAATTTTTGAAAGAAAAGCACAAATAAAGTCTTATGTTAGACTTCAAAAATAGAGTTATAAGCTTAATTCCTGAAAAATATTCACATGAACTTCCAGTCATGTCTTCTGCAAGCATTAGTAAAGGCATAGGTGCGTGAGTACTAACTAGGAAAAAAAAAACTTAATTAAACAACAAAGTTGAGATTAAACTATTGAGAAATTTAATTTTTCTTCACATATTTCTTTGTTGAAGAATAATAACATGGATTTCAAATTGTATAATGAGTACTCCACGGTCGGGGAAATGTTGTGTTGCACTCGTCTTAAATACTTAACATTGGTTTTATTAGAAGTTAAACATCAAAATAAAATTTATAAATTTAATATAAAACGGATTGAAAAAAAAAAAAAAAAAAAACTCACAATTCAAAGAAAAAATTTAAAATTATGTAACTTTATACAAATATTCAAATGTCATAGTTTTGCTATACCTGACATCACTGTTATGTAACGATTCGAACTTGAGGGTCCGAATCATTAACCGGGTCCTTAATCGAACCCGAAGTCATCTAAGGGCAATACGATCATTTCCAAGGTTGAAGTATAATTAGAATGCATTCCCTGTCTTTGTAGTACATCTTAGTGTCATGAAGTAGGTCGGGATTGGACAAAATGGGAAAAGAACAACAAATGGGGAAGTAGCAGGAATCGGTCGACGTGTGCAAGTTACACGTTGACCGGTTCATGCCTTTCGGTCGACGTGTCGATCGGTTTGGCTCTGCACATGAAATATGGTTCTGTCGAGATACCGGTTGACGCCTAGGCTTCCACACGTCTACCGGTTTGTGCTTCCTTAGCCTTTAAGGCCTGTTTTCGATGGTTTAAGTCCCCGGCGCCCTTATTGGTCCATTTGCAACCTTAAACATGATCTAAATATGTCTCAAAAACATAAATTTTATCGCATACAACACAATTAAACATCCATGTATCTATATAATCATTAAACGAGCTTGGTGTGTCATATATAGTCAAATGAATCCGGTTACATCATAACATGGCCCTACGGTCCTACATAGGACTAGAAATCCTAATGAGATCACAAAAGATACAAAGATGGTCAAAACTATTTCTATCTGTAAGATGAATACATATACCGGTCTTATACAAGCTTATAGCAAAATAGATACATGTACATTACATTTCTTCAAAACATCAATTATTACATTGATTACAAAAAAAAAATCAAAGGTCCCTCTATAAGCTTATGGGGGAATATAATCCACCACCTCATTTCCGTGACTTGAAAATGGTATGTGAGCACAACAGCTCAGTAGATGCCTAAAACGCACTCTTTAATGATCCCGTGAATTACACGCAAAGAATGGAATAAAGAAAGGGGGTCATGCTCAATTTGGAGAGGAATAATCAATATGATTCATGTCACACAAATCCAAGTAAAATCAATGCAATGATATGCAGTGCCAATGCGATGCAATGCCCACTCCCCATTTCCAAAACCTTTACCAACACAACAACCGCCAAACCGTTAATGTAACCTGGCCTGGGGCGACTCCCCGGCATCACGAGAGAAGAATTGACTAACGATTCCTAACCTAAGACAACTCCTTAGTGTCATTTGGGACCTAGGTAACTCAACTACACATAGGGCAGTCTCTGTACGTTCCCTCTAGGTTTCATTAACCCCATGGACATAAGGCGACTCCTTGCCGTCTGGTTTTTGCAAACTTCTTTTCAAAACCTTTCCCAAAATCAATTTTCATTTGAAAATCAATGTCCCATTACTCACCCAATGCCAATGCATGAATGTTTTATGAATTTCAACGTCATGCCAATATGAATTTTTTTTTTACATCAACTAGAATCATATTTGCATGCTTTGGAGATAATTAATACAACAATTATCATGCTATCAATTTCTCAACCATGACATTTTAAGCATGTAAAGCATGTAGTAATATCAATCAAGCATATATCTTCACAATAGCTCACATAAGCATGTAATTCAACACATTTCATCACATAAAACATAATATCATGCCTTAAAATCACAATTTTGGGCATGATATATTCTATAATACAAATATAAGAGAATTAATTCACAAAAACCAAAGGTTGTTGGCTTAAGGAACCCTTACCTCAAGAAGAAGAGTAAAGAAGAAGAGAATTAACTCACAAAAAACCAAAGGTTGTGGGCTTTAGGAACCACTACCTCAACACATTTCGCCCCTTTATGCATATGCATACATTAAACATGCCACAAATATATAATAAAACACACAACCACGTCGATACACTACAAATAATGATATATGAAATATAATGATCTCGAAATGTAGCCCCGAGCACCAAAAATCCAAGTGCGGGACTCATACGGGACCTCCCAGACCAAAAATCCGAAAAATGGGAAAAAGACTAGAAATGCATTTCTAAGAGCTCTAAATTCAAAGAAATGTCCCAAACCACACTTGGAACTTACGTGGCATGCTAACCGGGGGGTGGCACACAAAACGAGGCGAGAAAATAAATTAATTCAAAAGTTTGAAAAATGCCCGAAAAATGAAAAATTGCGAAACGTCACATGTTAGTTGAACATTAAGGCTATGTTTGGTATAGTGGAAAAGAAAAGAAAGGATAACATTAGTTTGGAAGGAAAAAAAGAGAAAGGAAAGGACATGATAGTGTTAATTACTTGTCATGTTTGGTTGATTAATAAAGGAAAAGAAAGGAAATGATAGTGATCATGTTTGGGGAAAGAAATGAATGAAAGCTATTGTAATGAATTTACAACCATACCCTTTTTCATAGAATTTTCTATTATAAAAATTAAGGCAAATTTGGTATTAACAAAGTTTCATTAAAAATGTTAGTTTTTCCTTCCCTTTCCTTCCATTTCCTCCCACTTTGGGAGGATAACAAAAGCTACTATTTATGCATCATTTTATCCCTCCAAATTGTTCTCTTTCCTTTCCATCCAACATTTCCTATCAAAGACATTTTTTTTATTTTCTTCCATTACCATTCTTTTATTTTCCTTCCATTTCCATTCTACAAAACTGACCTATTTTTGTTTAATTTCAACATAAATGTAACCAAACGAGTGTGACATAATTGATACATGGTTACATTTTCCTCCCCCATTCTCTCTCTCTCTCTCTATATATATATATATATATGTATATGTGTAAGAGAAGGAGATGATATATATATATATATACACACACACGTATGTATTCTGTGTAGTGATGAGTAGTTAGAAGGTTAAATGGGTAATTTAACATTCCAATGGGTCAATTGTAAGTCAATTCCTAAGTCAAAAGGGCAATAAGGGACTTTTACCTTATGTCAAAGGTAGTTGGGGGGTGATTGTTCAATTTTGCGAACTTGGGGGGTGTCATTGTCCAAACAGTGTCTTAAGTTGTAGCTGGGTGTCTTTAACCCAAACTTTTTTGGGGGGGGGGGGGGGGGGGGGGGGGAGTGGGGGTTGTGCAATTTACCCAAAAAGTAATTATTATTAAATAGGAAAGGTAGTTATCATTATTGAGTCAGAATCCTAGCATAATTTGAATTCAATTGGAAACGATGATTAATAGGTCGGAAAAGTCGTCGTCTTTACCGTATCTCCTTCATTTAAACTTGTTTATTCATGCTAGTTCAATTCAATGTGAAACAGAGGACCCATTCATTATGAAATCAATAAATCTAGCCTATTACTTGAAACGGTGAGATCAAATATAGAGGATACAATTGCAGAGTATTAATGGTTTCAAGTGTAGAGAGGTAGGGTTTACATAATGTGACTCAGAGTTTTGAACTAGATCAAACAAGAGGGAGAGAGATCATTGTGGGCAAAGGAGAGAGGGAGTGAGCATTGTCGACAAATGTAAGAGACTCCGTCGAAGAGCTTCATGGCTGGCGGTGGAGTATTTTGGCAAGAATATATGTCCTGAAATTATTATTAAACGGTGAGATCAAATATAGAGGATACAAGGGTAGAGGTAGGGTTCACATACTATAGCTAGGGTTTACATAATGTGAGTCTAAGGTTTTGAACTTGATCAAACAAGAGGGAGAGAGATCATTATGGGCGAAGGAGAGAGGGAGTGATCATTGTCGACAAATGTAAGAGACTCCGGCAAAGGGCTTCATGGCCGGCGGTGGAGTATTTTGGCTAGAATATATGTCCTGAAATAACCTTCAAAAAAAAAATATACATGTCCTGAAAACAACCTTTCAAAAAAAATATATGCCCTGAATGATAAACGCCCCATCTTTGCCACGTTGATGGACACATCCCTGCCATGTAGATTCATGATATAATCTCAAAATTATTTTCGAGACGTTTAGCACTGTTCAATTTTTTGTGATATAGTCTCGCCTTGTATAAAATTACTGAAAATACCTTTATGCTGTGTTTGGGAGCATCGAATTGGTGCCTTGGATTTGGAATGGTTGTATCTCTTGGCAGCAAAGATGGCCGCCATAATTCATATTTTATTTATTTATTTTATTTTTGAGATTGAAAAAAGTAGTCGAGAGAAAATGAAGTAGAAATTGTTCTATATTATGAAAGTGATAAGGGCTTTTGAAATTAACTTGCTATAAAAAAATAAAAAATACACGAAATCGATAATTATTAATAAATACTAATATTTCTTTTCCTTTCTATCCACTTTCATAAGAACATGAAAATGCTAAGAGCTTGGTTTGCCTTCCTTCTCCTTCCAAATCCACCCATATGAAGTTAGTGGGTTTGTGTTGAATTTAGTTGTGTTTATGTCATCATCGTGTCAATCTTTTAACTCATTTAATTGATCATATCATATTCGGCGCTCAACATGTTTAACCCGATTTGACTCTTTAATTAACTTTTCAATTTAGCTTGATCAATTAAACATGTTTAACCCAATTACAATGGGCATTTTTGATATTCAATATAAACCCTATATGAATATTGTACTCTCTTTCTTCTTCTTCTTCTTCTTCATTTTTTTTTTTGTGACAATTGTATTGTCCTAATTGTCTTCATTTTCATTGAGTAAATCATCCATTATGTTATTATTTTCCATATATAGTTGCCTTTTATACTTAAAAACAAGTTACATGACCCATTTAATTTAAACGGATTAAATAGTTTATTAAGCAGGTCATATTGTATTGTAAATTACATGACTTATTATTAAACTAGTTACATGTCCTGTCAATTACCTGTTTAATAAACAAGTCAGTATTGGTCTATGCCCTATGTGTGGTTTGCCCTTTTAATGTCAAAGCATTAGTCACACTATGCTTTTTCTGGTCCTTCATATAAAATGCATTACTCCAGGTCATCCATATCTCATCTCTTATAGGCTCACTGCACTACATTAGTTCATTCATGTTTTGTTTTGTCCAGCAAAGTGATTCTGCATAATTAAGCTTTCATATGTCCCTATGACAATATTATTCACTTGTGCTCGTTTTTCCGATGTACATTGGCAGCTATGCACTAACAGCCCTCGAAGGGCATTTCTGTCTTTTACCTCTGAATGCAGGTGACCAGTCATGTGCTGAATAGGTATCCTAAATTCTTGAGTCTAGTATTCTCAGAGAATGTCTTGTGTCCCTTGCTGATGCACAGCACAATTTGAGTTACGAGATCTTTTGTGCCAAGTCTAAATTGCTTTTAAAAAAAGCAAGGGTAAAAAAGGTCTCTTCAGAGATGCAAATGGTCAGAAAATTGCAGGCAATTCTCTGAGACAGCTAGGTCCTTTTTTCTCCAACAGATGCATCATCTTCTTCCTATTTTAGAAGGCCTTGCAGCAGCAGAATAGAGTGAGCGCATTCCACAGCTACCTGAGCCTTTGAGAGCAAAAAATTTCTGAGATCCAGATTATCTAGCTTATCAGAACCCAAGAATGACTTTGCTTGTGAAATTCTTGAGTATTAGTAGTAGCTGCAACCTCTCAGCTAGCTGTAGAAGCTGCTGACAGCAACCAACTAGAGCTCAGGTGTATGGCAATCCAGTTATCACTCATAACTCCATCTGATCACAGAAATGGTTTGAGCAAACTTTCCGTACTCTGCAGCAAGTTTGCGGAAGTTCTCATCACGCCTGTATTCACTCTGCAGCAAGTTTTTCTGTGTCAAACCATTCACTGCTGCTGTACATCCAGCAAAGCGCTTCGAATTTCAAGTCTAATACAACCTTGCTGCATCTTACTGAGAACTTTATTCAAGGAAGTGTAATCCAACATAATGAAGCTGCTAACAAGCAAGGATTGAGGTTCCATCTTCATCACCTCAGTTCCTACAGTCTTTTATAGGTTGAGTGTAAATTATATATCATCTTCTGTATCTTTATTTTGTGTTTGTGAGGTGTTTTCAGTTCAAGTAGTGAGTTTTGGTGAGTGATTTGAGTGAGACAGTGAGTGTATAATCTCAGATCATTCACAGTGGACTTTTGGCGAGCTCCATTAGCTCCAAGGTTTTTACTCGATACTGGGGTTTTTTTTATGGGTTCATGATTGTGGCATTTTATCGAACGTCTGCAAGGAATTAGGGTTTCATACAAAATATCGTCAAGTATTTGGTTCAGCGGAAGCATACTGTCTTCACAGCCTTACTCTACGGTCAGTATGAACAACCTTCATCAGTCATGTTTGTGATGAAGGTCTTGACACCATTATTAAAATGGTGTTCAGGTTGAGCTATGTAACAGAATATTATTTTGGGTTCAGGGGACATGAATATGACTCCAACACAAATTGTGCCCCTAATGATACTCATCTTTCTTGAGGTATGTGAAAAAGAAAGAAAAAAAAATGTATATCCCAATGCATGTCATTAAACATATATTTGATGTTGATTCAAAGATTGCACTAATCTATCTTTGTCCAGCATTTCCGTTGGATGGTGTAAAGATGGAAAGCACATTCTGTCATTTGAATTTGTTGACATTTAAGTAGATGGGAATTTATTATAAATATACATATACAAGGGAGGATAATTGTAATTTTGCATCAACAGGAGAAGTCTCTGTAATTGTGCTAATACCTTACGAGAGAGCTTATTAATCTCCACAGTTTATTATTTATTTTTTATTTTTTTCTCTTTTTGAACCACCAACCATGTTGTGTACGTGTGTGAGAGAGAGCTTCCAATTTGTTTCCATAGTTTGGTAAGGGTGCTATCACACTGAGGCAAGCAAGCAAAACAAAAGGTTTGTAACTTTGTGAGCCAAAGCCACATGGGGTAGGGGGACCTTGGACAGTTAGGGCAGGGCATGTGTGTCAAGCAAAAGAGGAATCCCCGAATTGTATTAGTTGAGAAGCAAAGTGGGTAAGATACAGAATCGCCGGCGTAGTGCAGTTAGGTGGTAGAATGGATTTTTAGTTTCTGGACGAATCAAATTTAGTGAACCGATCACTCGTGTCATAGGGCTAGGGCTAGTAACTTGGTGATGTAGCTCTCACGTTCTGGTACACTCTCGTTTCTATTTTTACTATTAGTGACTTAATTTTACTGCTTTCACGCCTCCTTTACGTGATTTAAGGTCATCTAATGAGAAGACCTTATTATCAATGAGATAATAGGTCCAAAAGATCTAATAAAATTACAATACCACTAAAGAGAAGAATGCTTTTGTGGAAAAACTAAAAAGTCACTAAAGAAAAAGTGTATATAAAACACAGAAGGAAGCAAAAAGAGGCAAGTTGGTTGGTTCTTAGGCTATTAAATAATGGTCACATTTGCAGTTAAGAAAAACAGAATGTTCTAGTTTCATACATCACTAATGTTATTAATTTCTTCGTATTAAATGAAATAATGAGAACAAAGAAGCCTCAACTGTCAGTGTACTAACAATCAAAATATTGACAGCATAGTATTGAAATATATATTATATGGAATATGATATATTGACAGCATAGTATTGAAATATATATTATATAGAAAATAATATTTCAGCCGAAGTATTTGACCGAGTACTTTGACATAAATTACGTGGCTGTCCAGCAAAGCCACTTCTTTCTCTCTCTCTCATCTCTTCTCTCTCTTTTCTTTCTTTTTCTGATTCTATTTTTCTCTCTAACATCTCTTTAAAATTTTTTTAAAGACTGTGAAGAACAATATAATCAAACAAATAAATACACATATTTACTTTCCAAAAAAAAAAATTACACATATGATACAATATATATAAATATATATGAATATGATATATGATATAAAGTTGTAACTATACTTTAAAAATCAAAAGTTTTTTCTCACCCTTTTTTTTTCCGGTGATTAAAAGTTCTTTTTCTCTTCAAGTTAAGATGGTAAAAAATATTGTTTGAAGAGATGAAACGAAGGGGAGAGATTTGATAACTATCAGAAGAGAAGAACTTACCCTAGAACTTGACAGCCTGGGAAAGA